GTACATTATTGTTTATTCCTAATGTAATTATATTATATTAAAATAGTATGTATTAAATATAATTATATCTGGTCTCTGGAGAGTGTTTTAGAACACAGTGAATTGTTTTATGCAATTACAGCAAACACATTCTGAGCATCTTATTATCACTGAGGTGAGACTTCTTTGCTCTCTGTCAGGCCATTTGAATATGAAAAGGTTTGAGCAATCAGGAGGTCTAAGGGCTTATTTAAAGCTAAAATCTTTTATATTTAGTCTGTTTCGAGATTAAATTAAAGTATAGTGGATATTTTAATTGATCAGCATCATATTTGAATTTATCACCATTAAATTTAAATGGCAAATTTCTGATTTGTAAAGGCAGAGTTTTCATTAGAGCTTATTTGTCTTTTTTGCAATCAAATCATTCTGTTCTGCTCACCTTTATTTTTCACATGCAAATGCCTTTAAACAGACTGTTGTTATTAATCCAATTTAAAAGTTTACAATTGTTTTTAAATCTTAAACCATTTTTTCCTGTTTTCCTTTTTTCCATTTTTCTCTTTTTTATAAAACAGTAGATTTAAAACAATGGATAGTTTTTGATTTAAACTTTTAGGATCTAATTTATGACTCTCCACTGAGTTCCAGAATATAATTTGGATGATGTTATTCCAATTTTAAGCTTCAACTCTTGCTGCCTAGCAGACAAAGAGATTTCAGAGCAAGGGATGGCATTTATCTATACTGCTGTTATCATGTCCCTGATAATCAAAGTGGTTTTGTCTAATTCTCAACCCCACCGGATAACGCATTCCGGTCTAACATTTTTGAGCATTTCCGACTCATTCTATCAATGTGTTTATATAGGGTGCGTCCAGCTTTCCCTCAACATTTCTAATAGGCAAAGAAGAATTGACTTACCACAGCAGCTGAAGATAGAATAGAAGATCCAAACCTCTTGGTTGATATAAATCCATTTTGTGCTGGAAAGACGTAACTCGCCTGAGTTGGGAGATCACGTCGGGGTCACCATTTTGTAAGGTCCACCCAGTTGGCCCAATGCCGGTGTCCACTGGTGGATGAAGGTTCACTGCATGTTCGGTCTTTCCAGTGCACAATGTTGATTTATATTAAACTTAACTCATATCTGACTCCAATTTTAATATGAGGTGGTTTAGAATATTAATATATTTATCCTCGTTTTATCTGACTCCAATTATAAAACATTAAGAAGATTATATCAATATGTAATTTAGATAAATGTTTGAACCGTTTGTCTTCACTAGTAACTATTACATCCGTTCATTCGGGTGCTCATGTCGCTCAGAGAAATCGCCTCGGCCGAAGGCGTCCCTCACGGTCACACTCCGGTCAGTCTTGAATATTAAACAGAGGTAAATTGACTAATACTTTAGATGGCCGCTACCAGCGCGCTCGTTCTAAAATACTTTAGTTAGTCCCGCTTAGATGTACACCTTTGAGTTAAGACAATCATCATTTCTAATTAGAGGTTAGGGCATTAATATAAATGTACCCGACTACTGGACTCTATAGTAACTTTGGTTTTCACCAAGCCCATGGTTTCCCATATGAACTTAATTTAGAATAATATTACCTTCAAACAAAGGTCGGGTACCCAATCTAGGTTAGTCGTGCAACACCTTGTTGACCTAGACGGAAGTTATCGCCCTTTCCACCTAAGTACACATGAATCAATATCAAGAGTCAGCCGGATCGCTAAAACACAATTAGTGTGCCAATGCTCCATCTCAATTGGATTTTAGTCCGTCTACTGACCTGACGCAAGACGTGCGGAAACAAGGATACAGCGTAATCTACTTGAATTAATAATTACAGAGTGAGCAAAATATGGTCAAACATTACAATTTATTAGTCAGGTAAATGTATTATGTCAATTCAATCAGTCAATTCATAAATGATCAATACAAAACATCAAATTATCAAAGATAAATCCAAGATGAAAAAGATGCATTCCTGACTTTGAAATATACATAACATGGGGCAGACCCCATGTTATGGGCTGATCTGGTTAGGCAGAATCGCCCTGAGCTTTTCTTAGGCCTTACCTTAAATAATCCAAGAATTCCCTCAAGGAAGGGGGTGTGAATGTATAACAAAAGGCATTCACACTTAGTGTCACACCCCTCACAGTGGTTCAAAAGATGCCTGAAGTTATATATTTATTGTTCTGATTATGTCTATTTCTGAGAGAATGAGACCATTGTACCAATCGCACTGAGACATTTCAAATGATATCAAACATGATAGTTAAAGTCAGTTTGGTTAATTCTAGAACATTCAAACATTGAAATGACCATATGTGTGAGTTGGGGGGATGAAGCAGACTCAGATGCAAATGCAGCAGGAACTGGTTTTTCCCGCATTCCCCTTGCTGAGTTGTGAAGTTACCAGTCTCTGTTTTCAGCTCATGTTTTGAATTGTCAAAGGTATCAGAATATTTGCAATATTTCAATTCTTACAGATGCAATAAAAAAATTACTTAGAGAAACTGAAGGGGATTGCTGGTTAGCATGATGCAAAGTACAGTACAAACACTCATATAAACTCACAAAGTAATTTCCTATGCTCATTTTAGATAACAGTTTGAATGCTGGTAATGCTATAAAAAGCATTTCGGATTTACTGTTGATGACAGACTGCATTACGCTCTCAAGCGCCTCCTTTAAGTAGTGAAAAAGTGCCTGTCTCAGATCCTGGCTTCACCAAAAGGAATATCTGTCCACACGGAGATACTGCTGTTTGACAATTTTACCATCTAGAACTAGTATCCGTCATCTGATCAGCAATCATGGGGGTCAGAAAGCTCTTATTGTGCATTATAGTCCTCCATATCTATGGTAAGTACACAAGTATGTCACTTGAATTGCTTGAATTCTTATTGTAGAGCTTTTGTGCTATTATATGACATTGTATATCAATGTACTGAAATTATGAATGTACTTTTTTGTCTGGTAATGTTATATAACTGTGTGTTACAGATGGCTTTGAAAGCAGTTTTGGTGTTATGATGGAAAACAACGAGACAATGTATGAGTTGTATGAGGATTATGAAGGCTATAGGGGAAATTATTCCAGAAACTTTTCCAAAACGTTTTTCCTGAACATGTCCAGCCAAAAATATCAAGGTAAAATTTTCTTTACATCCAAAAGCAATTAGTATCTGAGCTTTTCACACTAAAAATATTAAGGTTAAAAACGATAGAAAAGAGAGAGAGAGACCACTTGGAAATTGTCTGGATTTACAATTGATAAAATATGTATGGTAAAAAAATTCATTTTAGTTTGTAAAACAGACAGGTTTCTATTTATTTTTAGACAACACAATGCCATTGATTATTTTAAGAATACAATAAACAACATCTAAATATTAAAATGTTCACATAAACTCACAACAGTAAATTCACATTTACTCCAAGTGTATTTTGCTCATTTCACTTCTCTGATTAGAGACTCATAGACCGTCTGATATTTCATTTGACTATTACAACATAAACTTGAGCAACATTTGAATGCAGAAGGAGAAAACAGAGAGCATCCGATTTCATTTCTGCTCTGACAGCAGCAATACTGCGGTGAATGGTGTGGGGTTGTCTGACATTACTCAGTCACATTCTGGCATATTAATTAATGAACTTTGTTGTCGTGCCATGTCTACAGCAGACGTAATGACATTATGATATCTTTCCGGGGACTATTTTCAGCTGCTGCGTAATATCATTGTGCCTGCTGCAGCCATGATACTGCGACAAAGTTTCTTAATGTAACTACAGAACAGTCAAGCTTTTATTAACTATATTTTTATACATTAAAGCAATTTACAAACTAAACATTCAATGACAGTAACAGTGACTTAAATAATAAAACACTAATAGGGCAGATAATAATTATAATAATAAATAATTAATTAAATTAAGTAGTGTTGTCAAACAATTAACTGCAATTAATCTTATCTGATAAAAGTTTGTATTTATATATAATACATGTGTAGTGTGTATATTTAATGTTTAAATACAAAATAAATATATTTACATATATTATATTTACACACACACACACTTAGCAACCCTTCGATTTTTTTTATTTTATTTTTTTTTTTCTTCTTTTAAAAATATTTTTCAAATGATGTTTAACAGAGTTAGGATATTTTCACAGTATTTCTGATAATATTTTTTCTTCCAGAGAAAATCTTATTTGTTTTATTTCGGCTAGAATAAAAGCATTTTTAAATTTTTTTTAATCAACATTTCAGGGACAAAATTACTAGCCCCTTCAAGCTATATTTTTTCTCAATAATCTACTGAAAAAAACACTGTTATACAATAACTTGCTTAATTACCCTAACCTGCCTAGTTAACTTAATTAACCTAGTTAAGAGTTCAAATGTCACTTTAAGCTGTATAGAAGTGTCTTAAAATATATCTAGTAAAATATTATTTACTGTCATCATGACAGATAAAATAAATCAGTTATTAGAAATGAGTTATTAAAACTATTATGTTTAGAAACGTGTTGAAAAAAAATCTCTCAGTTAAACAGAAATTTGGGAAAAAAATGAACAAGCGGTCTAATAATTCAGGGGGGCTAATAATTCTGACTTCAACTGTATATACACTTTACCCTGTACTAAAATGGCAGCTCTATTGACGCATTCCTTAAAATAGACAACAGCAGGGTAGGCAACATCTAATGTATATATCTATGGTTCAAATGCATGAGCTTTTACACTTAAGATAGCAATCTAGTCACATCTCTAGAAGTGGACAAAAGTGGAAAAGCTCCATTTACACTGTTTTTTACTTGTGATTTTCAATACACACCTCAATACTAGTGTAAACTGGACCAAAACCTTTAACCCAGGGTTTAGGAATGTATAGTGTGACTTTAAGAAAACCCAGTAATTGTTAACCTCGAGTAATCATGAGCAGTGTGATGCAAAACTACCATATTAATAATAACAGAATACAGAGCCCTTTATTAGTCACCAATATTTGTCTCGTTGTGTTCTGAGAACATTTACTGTTGATGCTTTTTGTTTGTTGGATTACAGAAAACATCTGGTTTGAAATTGTCGGAGCCATTTCACAAATTTATGACATGCAGCCATGTAACAGCTCTGATCTAGACGGAGTGAAATGCAACATTACACGGATTTCATACAACATCTCAGGTGACGCTGTTGAGTTCCTGAAAGGCTCGCTGGTCACCCGCTTCATGCCGTTTTTCTACATCTTCATCATCCTCATCAGTTTGCCTCTGAACGCTTTGGCTTTGGTGACGTTCACCTGCAGGATCAGAGAAAAGAAACCAGCTGTGATCTACATGTCTCACCTGGCGTGTGTGGATCTGCTCTTCGCCCTGCTGCTGCCTCTGAAGATCCACTACCAGCTGAACGCTTCTGATTGGCTGTTTGGTGAGGCGGCGTGTCGTGTGCTCACTGCAGCTTATTACTGCTACATGTACTGCTCCATACTGCTGATGATGTGCATGAGTGTGGACAGACTGCTGGCCGTGGTGTTTCCAATCGCCTCTTTAACCTGGAGAAATGCGAGGAAAGCCTCGTTCATATGCGCATTAGTCTGGCTGCTGGCGCTCGCTGGTACTGTGCCACTACTATTAATGAGACAAACATTCAGGATTAAGGATGTGGGCGTCACTTGCCATAATGTGCTGTATAACACACAGCTGTATGCATATCTGTTCTTCATCCTCTCCTGCTTGTATTTCTTCTTGCCGCTGGTCATCACTTTAGTGAGCTACTCCAGTGTCATATATGTGCTCAGTGTAAAGTCCGACCGCATTTCTTCATCTTCATCCAACAAAAGGAGAGCTGTGATCATGACTATCTCTGTGCTGAGTGAGTTTGTGGTGTGTTTTGCTCCAACTAATGTCATCTTGTTGCATCACTGTGTTCGATTAGCTACTGAAGGCAGCACTGAGGAGGGGAAATACTACATGCTGGCTGTGTGTTTGGGCAGCGCAAGTGTTTTTCTGGATCCTCTGCTGTACTATTATGGCTCATTTCAGTGCAGACAGAAAATCAGCTCTCTGTTTTGGTGGAAGAAGACCAAAAGTGCTAGCACACCATCAAACACAAACAATCAAACACAATCCTCTCACTTGAGCTGTGAGTGCACTAAGGCTAAAGTTACGAATTGAATTGACGATAACTATTTTGCACTACCAGCTTTCATTTTTATTGTTTAATACAATAGCACTATGGGCCCTATCGTACACCTGGCGCAATAAGGCGTGTTTGGTGCGATTTGTTGCTATTTTCAGACCAGCGCAAGCCTAATTTTCATGCTTTGCGTCACGTTGTTTAAATAGCAAATCCATTTGGGCCACTTTGTGGGCTCATGGGTGTTCCAGTCTAGAAAGGAGGTGTGTTAAGGCGCATTGTTGGCGTGGTGCTATTTTAATGAACTGAAATAGATTGCACCATTGACCCTCTAAAAGCAGGTCTAAAGTCCAGCGCAGAGCGCGTTAGTTATGCGCCTATGTGGTTTCAAACGCGTACACATTGCTTAATAAACAAAGGATGTACAGCAATACACAAATATCTTTTACATATGAATTAAAAAAAAGGATTAAAATGTTACAAAAATTATTATTTTCTACATAAATATAAAAAACACTCCATTTCGGGAGGCTTTTTTCAGTTTATTCATGACAATTTGCACTTGTATAATGTTGTTATTATTATTAGTGGTATTATTTATTACATGCATATTTATATTTGCTTTAATAAAACAAGTTTAGATTTGTCCACCTGTCAGGTTTTGGAGATGTATGCATCACCATATGGGGCATAAAAATAGGACGTGTGTTTGGATATAACTCAGTTTTTTGAGCACACTTCATTATTATTGTTCATTTATTTATTTGCTGGAATTTAGAACTGAATTTAGAAATAGTTTTGAAACAAGTCTTTGCGCTTAATAAACAAAATTAAATATGTAGGCTAATGGGTGTCTTCAGTGGAGTGCGTACAACACCGTTCCTTATCTGCAAAAGTAAAGGAGTAAAGTAAATCGTAAAAATAAAATAAAGAAAAAGCAAAGAGGCTAAATGGTGGAGGCTCGTTCTTTATCCTTGCACTGCAGATGGTCTGTTAAACAATTTTCTCACTAGCGTTCAGTTTTTCCACTTACAAAGTCCGCCATATAAATAGCAAATGCGCGTGACTCTTAAGGGGAATGAGAGATGAGACTCTGATTGGTTTAATGCACGTTATGTTCAAAACACGTGCGCAGAGTGTATTTTTCCGTTCTTAAAATAGCAAAAGTGGATTCGGACATGCTCTTAATGCTTTTGAGCCATGTGCTTTAGACTTTGCGCCTAGATCGTTAAAATAGAGTTATGTTATGACACCTACTTATAATATGTTATTAAGGAGGTAAGATAAGGTGGGGGCTCGTCCGGGATTTAAACCCAGACTTCACACACATTACAAAGCAATAGGAGAAATGGAGAACACATAAGCCGAGCAACACTACAATTTTCTCACCAAGTTCAATCTTAAAAGAAAAAAAAAAAAAAGAGTAAAAAAACACTTTAGTGAATACGTTCATATCCATATATGCTTGTATATCATGTTTGTTTGTCACTGTTATTGACTGTTTAGCTCCATCTTGTAACTGAATAATATGTAGATTAATGCATCAACGTATGTATTATATTAATGTTTTTGTTTTGGTCAGCTTTGCATTTAATTAAAGAATTAATAAACTGTTACAGTTCAGAACAATGCTTGTGTCTAATTTTTACATTTTGTGGCAAGTAGCCATGTAACAAGTGGGATAAAGTACATCCAGCCAATTGTTTTCGTAGAGTAAAACCAAAGTCCCTTTAAGGCAAGTCATTTCACTCTGCAGCCATCTTTGAAACACCTCTCTAAAATTTCATATTAGGAATCGCTAATAAAACTAAACAACAGCTGTCTCCTTAGTTTTATTTCTAAACCTTCTAATCACACAAAATCTGCAGAAACTACTAAAAGGCGGTGCTTCATTCGTCATGTTGACCGTTACACGTTTCCCCATTCAAAACTATACGAGTGACACGTCTTGTGTATTTCATAGTCTTTGAAAAAACCCTTCAGGCTTACATATCAGCCCTCTCCTTCATGTCTGCCTATGATCTTTATTTTGCAATAACAATTGTCTGCAAGTAATTTATCCCTTGGATATAAATACCTTGAAGTGTTGTGATTAACCAATCAGAATCAATATTTCCGAGAGCCATGTATTAATATAATCATAAGAGATTTTTAACCATCATTCATCTCTTTTTCTGCATGACAATGTCTGTCAATACAAGATTTCTCATTCACTCTGCAGTAGGGTAATATGCAATTTGACAAATCTCATCACAAAGTCATTTCATATCCTTAAAATGATATAGTAATGTACACAGTAGTACAGGGTTTGACCCCTTTTGCATTCAGAACTGCCTTAATCCTCCGTGACAGAGATTCAACAAGGTACTGGAAATATTCCACAGAGATTTTGGTCCATATTGACATGAAAGCATCACACAGTTGCTGCAGATTTGTCGGCTGCATATCCATGATGTGAATCCCACGTTCCACCACAATTGGTAATAATGGACCCAAAGTGTGCCAAGAAAATATCCCCTACACCATTACACCCCCAATCCCAGCCTAAACTGTTAATACAAGGCAGGATGGATCCAAGCTTTCATGCTGTTGATGCCAAACTCTGACCCTACCATCCGAATTTTGCAGCAGAAATCGAGACTCATCAGACAAGGCAACATTTTTCCAATTCTCCAATTTTGGTGAGCCTGTTGTGCTTTCAGAGATGCTCTTCTGCATACCCCAGTTGTAACAAGTGGTTATTTGAGTTACAGTTGCCTTTCTATCAGCTGAAACCAGTCTGGCCATTCTCCTCTGACCTCTGGCATCAACAAGGCATTTGCGCCCACAGAACTGCCGCTCACTGGATTTGTTTTTTTTTTTTTTTTTGGACCATTGTCTGTAAACCCTAGAGATGGTTGTGCATGAAAATACCAGTAGATCAGCTGTTTCTGAAATACTCAGACCAACCCGTCTGGTGCCAACAACCATGCCACATTCAAAGTCACTTAAATCATCTTTCTCTCCATTCTGATGCTCGGTTTGAACTGCAGCAGATTGTCTTGACCATGTCTACATGCCTAAATGCATTGAGTTGCTGCCATGTGATTTTCTGATTAGAAATATGCGTTAACAAGCAGTTGAAAAGGTGTACCTTATAGTGGCCGGTGAGTGTATATCACAGTATATGTAATATTGACCAGGTGGAATGGAAAGGCCTACTTCTTTTTGAAAATGTAAAGTACATGCTTAAACATGTGCTCATTTGTATAATAATTTTTTCTTTATTTTATGTAGAACATATAAAATCATATAATCAAATACTTGGTTAAGAATGTATAAATATTAAATAATATATATATGATATATATAAAACAAAACAAATAATTGCTAACCCAAAATAAAATAATGCTGAATAAAATGTGAAATGTAAACACTGCTCTTTCAAGTTTGCAACGCTTTCACCATGCTGTTACTCACACAGTAAAATCCTCGAAAATAATTCAAATCAAATTTTACTCAGTTTAGATAGTATTTGGTCCCTCTCTTAATTGAGTTAAAGTTACTGAAGTTAATGAGACAATGTAATGATTAATTGGTGATGATTGAGGATGATGAACACCTCCTGTTATTAGGCAGAACAGAAGAGAAACACAAAACTACTACTCACTTCAATCACAGCCTTAAGCTGCAGTCACACTTGACATTTCCCCCTTATAGACTTCCATTCATACGCAGAGTCATGCGTTAAGTTTCGCTGTTCGCTGTGATGCAAAGTTCAAGCTTGGTGAACTCTGACCTGCGAAATCGCATCACTTGACTGCGTGAGACCAATCGAGGATCAAAACATTACCTCTCTGGACAGAAATTTAAAACACGGAGCAATCGCTCGCTTTTTTAATGTCTAATAATCTTGTTTATCCCGCACTTTTTTTCATAAATAGGGAGGGACCAAATACTCTCTGAACTGAGTCATTTTTACTCAGAGGATTTTGCTCAGCGCCTGCATCCTGATTGGTTGTCTAAATGATTTAAAAGTAATACCATAAGCAATGTATTTTGCGACATCTAAAAATAAGGGATATACTTTACCATACTATGAAAGATAGCCTTTAAAAATACAACATATATTGTCATATTGTACAGCCCTGCTCTCCATGTCATATAAGGCCAAATGAGCTCAATGGAGGCTTAAGTTTCAGTGATGTCACCAAATATAAGTCCTAGAACAGGAGTGACTGAGCACTGAAGACTGAAGAAACACTGCATGAAGAGTTTCCTTGCTTTTAAAAAGTTAGAAAGTGACTCCTGATTGGTACTCATGAAGGTCAAAACTCTTTCGATTTTAATTATACTCGTGCATACATGCAGCGTCACCTTAAATGGTAAGTGTGTTCATTTCAGTCTAGTTTTGTGTGGTTTATCTTGTGCAAACTTTAAGGGAACATTATTTTAGGTTGCTGGTTTAAATTGTGTGTGATTCTATCATGATATTGACTGATTAGCATTGTAATGATTACTGTATTGTCATGCTATTGAATTTCTAATATTAACTTAAATATATGCTTGCAGGATAATATAGCTGTGGGTCAACAAAAACAAAACATCAAAGCTAAACTAGTTTTAACTCGATGCACTGCGGTCTAACAAGATTAAAGTGCGCTACAATGGATATTTCAACCAAAAGAAATGATGTTATTGTTTAGTCACTCTTGTTTTGTGTCTGTGACATGTATGGTGTTGTTCTGTGAAACATAAAAGAGGAGGTTTTAATAGTATGTATACAGTTGATGTCAGAATTATTAGACCCCTGAATTATTAGCCCTCCTGTTTATTTTTTTCCCCAATTTTTGTTTAACGGAGTGAAGATTTTTTTACACATACTTTTAAAAGCTCATTCCTAATAACTGATGTCTTTTATCTTTGCCATGATGACAGTAAATAATATTTTACTATATATTTTCAAGACACTTTTATACAGTTTAAAGTGACATTTAAAGGCTTAACTAGGTTAATTAGGTTAACTAGGCAGGTTGGGGTAATTAGGCAAGTTATTTTA